AAAAACGCGATTGCAAAATTTTGATTTTTGGTCGAAAATTTCATGAGGCCGAGTTTTCCAAAAAATTCAAGTTCCTTAAAATACCTCGAGTGATACATCATTTTCATCGGAAAGAGACAAGGAATGCAACGAACTAATTAAAAGACACCGGGGCCTTTCGAGTTCCCAAATAATCAACATTTTCTGACTCTTTTGAACGGTTTTTGAGCGGTCGCAATCTTCAACGGACGATATCTTCCTTATTTTCGACGAACAACTTTCATGTTCGCTATTGAGCAGCTTCTTAGGTCGGAAACAATCCACTAAGGGCAAAAAACGCGATTGTAAAATTTTGATTTTTGGTCGAAAATTTTATGAGGCCGATTTTTCCAAAAACTTCAAGTTCCTCAAAATACCTCGAGTGATACATCATTTTCAGCGGAAAGAGACAAGGAATGCAACGAGCTAATTAAAAAACACCGGGGCCTTTCCAGTTCCCAAATAATCAACATTTTCTGTCTATTTTGACCGGTTTTTGAACGATCGCAATCTTCCTTATTATCGCTCCACAACCTTCATATTCGATTTGTAATATTCTAACGGAAAAACATTCAGGAGCAAAACACCCCTACGTCCTCTCAGGCGTTTGAGGCTGCAAACGTCTGGCGAGATTCGGTTATATTGAACTTTTTGTTCAGGCCATGATTTTCGCCTGGGCGATTTTACTGCCCAATAGGAGCAAACAGGGGGAACACCAGTTAACACTCAGCCCAGTTTTGCAAATTTTGAACCTCTACTTCAAATAAAACCCGATTTTTCCATCTCTCCAGTCAACCAATCCAGATTTCTTACCTTCACTGGAACCAGCTCCTTTCCGTGCACTGCCACTAACCGTCCCATAATCACTACTTTTTCGGTTCAGATTTCCAGTCCGTCGTCGTCTGACCGCATAAGTATGCACAGGAACTAAAAGTTTGGGTCTGGGAATAGCAAAATCCTTCCGGCGGAACGCCGGAGTTGGAGAAACGTTCCGTTTCGGCGCTTCTTTCAGTGAGTTGCGCACGTAAACTCCCTCTTTGTACAGGCTGTACACTTTCTGGTAGTCCTCCTGTTCCGGTTCCTCGTTGCTGTCGCTTTTGCCTTCGCTGCTGGACGACGAGGAAGGATAGATGTGCTTCGGAGGGAAGCGCTGCCTGATCTTCTTGCTGTGCTCGTAGTAGCCGCTGTCGTTTCTGACCAGATCTTTGCCGACCTTCTCCGCAATATCTTCCTCTGTTAGGTACTGATTCTGCATGTCCACCCATTCGCTGATGCGGCCATCCGCCGCTGTTTCTGCCTCTTTGCTATGGCTGATTTTCTCCAGCAGTTCATGGGTCGGATTCACGATCACTCTCACGTGAGCCTCGTCCGGCAGCTCGCGTCTCTCGATTTCCTCATCAATGTCGGTACTCACTTCATCAAAGCGCACGCTTTTCTTCATCTGCCTTTGCAAGTCTTCCAGTACCATCTTGAACTTGTCCTGGTCGTCATTAGGAAGGTACAGCTTAGCTCTTGGTTTGGGCACTGGGAAGCTGCGCTCTTCCTTCACGCTTTGCTCACGTTGCAGCCCCCGGGAGGGCAGGAAGTACTGGTTGGTGTCTTCAGCCTCTTCTCCTGCCTTTGCGTTGATTTTCGACAGAATCTTGTCGCTGTGGTACTTCAAGCGGATGCTGTCCGTGCTTTTGATCTTCCTGGGCGCTGCGTAAAGGTCCTCTTGACTGTCTTTTTGGATTTCCTCCAGCAGCGTCTGGTACTGCCCCAGTCTGGACGACACTGTCCCATCGCTTTTCGTGCTGTACTTGTCCCATGAGTTCGAGGACGAGCTGATGTTGGACAAGTTCTGCTGAGTGTCCAGCCAATTGGCCTCGTACAGCTGCCCGCGCGCGTGATTCGGAATGTCCATTTCCAGCCAAACTGGATCGTTGATCACAGCTTTGCCTGGGTGCCGTTTGATCTTCATTGCCGACGGTTTGGTTAGAGAATCATCCTGAAAGCTAAAACAATGAGGAGAATGGGCGGGTGTGGGTTTAAGGGGCCTTATTGACTTGGAGGTGTTGCAAGCTTGATCCGGACCATCGGATCACTATCGTATAACGTCACAGTTCCCAACGGATCAGGTTCAAACGTGTGTTAATAACAGGTTGCCTAATTTATTGATAACTACCATAACAGGCTTGTTAAGTTCAATTGAATCACGTTTTTATAAAACACGCAACATTTGCAGCAAGACAAGTTCATTAATCGGCCATCAATCTTCGATAGTTTCGCAATTAAATCGACGATTAACCGTTGTTATTAAGGAAAAGGGTAAATTGAGTGCGCAGAGTGGACGCAGTCATTGAAACAGTGTGATGCATTATGAATAATTTGGGTTCAGCAGTGAAAGTGTGGACAAGGGCGGATCCAGCTTTCAATTCGAATGTTGACGGATTTTGTCCTGAATTCTCACCGATTGTTTTCAACGGTATAAAATATGTAAATATTTAATATTACCGAGACAAGGAATGCAACGAGCTTATTAAAAGACACC